CAGCTATTTCCGATTATCAACAAGCAGCGGTAGAGGTCACATATGCAGTGTGAATGTGGGTTGTCTGTATCCTAGTGAGGACGCACTCTACAATCCTTTAGAGGAAAAATATCCATAGCAGGCGGTTAGCAATAGCCAGAAGATTCCATTCGGGAGTGACCATCATGAGTGATTCACGATTAAGAATGTTTGCCGAAACGTCACGAACTTCAGTTCTCAATTGTCGGTGTTAAAAGGAACACCACGCTCCAGGTGGTAAGGGCCGATTATTTCCTGCTTGATTTCGGCGTGGTTCATTAAGCAAAGCGGCACATGAGCCATGAACTTACAAGAAGCAACGAACAGAGTTCGCCCGAATGGAAAGTAACCCACGAGGGTGTTTGCCAGAGAAAAGTGCTCAGGCCTCATGCAATGTCTCAAGTCGTATGGTGGCGGAACTTTGCTGAGGCACCAGAAGCGGGCATCTTTTCACAGAGTTCGCGCCAGCCGCACCTCTGATAATTGTGCGTGAGCGAGGTAAGGAGAGAGCGAAAGTAAGATGTGTCAAGTTCTTCGTCACAGTTTGAGTCACTGGAAGGAACATTGAAGGAAGCCTGAGAAGAAATAGACGAGGAATTCCTGCGTGCAACGTGCGCAAAGCCTAAGAAGCGACTTCGAGCTTGCATTAGTCGCGTTGGAGAGTATTTCGATATCTAGTTGTTCCACATTGTTGGGGATGATGCAATTTACCTTATGTGTAAATTCAGTCAGCATCGTCCGTTTAGAAGCTTGAAATATACTGCTGTGTGTAGGACATGAATATTTGGAACACACTGAGATATGATAATATATAAATATACATATATAGCTAAAATTTCAAAAATGTGACATTCCCAGCTTCGTTAATCACATATGCAGTCACAGGTCTTGAACGATGACTAAATTGAGCAGTAGCAAGTCGCTTACGATAAAGTGTGAGAAAAGTGCACGAAGGGGTCCGTAGAAAATGCGAAAGAGACCCGCGCTGCTCCTTATAAAATATGTTCTCTACTAAGTTGAGTTTTATAGAAGTCCCCCTCCAATTATACGACAAATGAGGCTTTAGGGCAGCGGGTGCGTTAATTGTCCGGGAGTTTGTAACAAGTGCCATCTTTGATCGTTTTGGTTGTAATATGGATGCTCGCGAATTGAGCCGAACTATACAGAAATGGGGGCAGACATTAATGATTATTCATGTAAGCTAACTTTAGTCCTTCTAACAGTACTGGATTCGAAGGAAGTGGCTGTATGGCTCCCTTATATAGCTTATTGATGCTGTCGGTCTACATGAAAATTAGCATAGAGAATTATCTCCCAAGCTTGGCTGATGTTACAGACCAGAGGGAACTGCGGAGGGAATCGCTGCGCTGGGACGTTCGGTAGAAAAGAGCGCCATATGCAAAAACGAGAGATGGCCAGTTACAGGTACATAGATTCGTAGGGACAGCACTGACAAGCAACGTCAGACGGAAGGAGTCATGTATAAGTAGTTTCTCATTGAATGCAAAGGATCATCTACAAGTTGCTTTATGACTCGGCGACGTAAGCCAACTCTGATGGCGTCTCAATCTTCGACAAGAGTGAAAACTCTTTCATAATGTTAGTCGGACGAAAGACTAACTATCAGTTCGAACTCAGATGTGGGTATAATTGGAGATCCCCTGAAAAATTCGCTGTAACTGTGTGTGTTGAATGCGAAGCTGGAGCGGGCCAATTGGAGACAGCATATGTCTGATTTTGGTGTGTTGACCTTAGAAAAAAATATTTGGCTATAACTTCGTTCCTGTTACAGCTTTTGTCGATTTTTCATGATCTCTTAGCTATCATAATGCTAATTTGCGACACCGCGCCTGTGATATATAAGTGAGAACACTAATGTTAGAATGAAACAGGTCGTTACCTGTAATATCCTTTTTCCCCCCAATCAGAACCCCATGAGTTCTTTATAATCCAATAGGGCATCTTCTTTTCGACACCGTATCCGACGAGAAGAACGCCGTGATCCAAAGCAGCTGGATTACAGGATCTCGGATGAGAAATGCCGCCTTGATAGAACATCATGTAGTCTGCATTGATACCTAAATAATGACGATGAGCATAGAGTAGCTATGAATTTGATAGAAAGATTTTCCAGGCATTCCCCAACGTTATCCGCGTCGGTATGGCGGAATGCCCTATTGCCATCTGCTTGGAGAACTCTTTATTTAATATGGTGCACAGTGAGGTGCATACTCGTAAAAATAAATAGCACATCAGACTACCTGTTTTTGCTCATACTATAATGGAATTGTGCCTTAAGGCACACTACGACGTATTTTTTGTATTTAGTCTTGCACAAGGAAATGAAAGAACATATGTAAAGTAAGCACGTGTGGAAAAAGATGTTTCCGTCAATATTCTGATTAGGTTTCTTTGTCTTCAGAAGCCTGGATTGAAAGCGGGCGTGCTCAAAAGAATAGTTTCCCGAAGAGCAATTGGCTTTGTGCCCGCAGTCATCAAGGGTAACACAACGATTCGCGGGCTCGTTCGGCGCACGGAAATGTGATTAAAGGCAAACTCCGGAATTAAACTGGTGCTAAGAGCGCTTCGTAGTGATAGCTTAGCTGCGACCCGAAAGTGGAGAGGAAAGCAAGAGAACTCTTTGGGAACGCTGAAATTAAGGCCTTAACCTTCAATAAGGTCGGATGTGGTACGATGGCGAGACAGGGCGATCAAAGAGGTCAAAACACGCGAGAGAGAACGTCGTTTGAGAGAGCACGCTGATCTCTACATCAATGCACGCTGATCTCACCACATCTCGCGGTGGGTGGGAAGCGTTCGATGGTTGGAGGCCCGTAAGGATTAGCGCCCTAACCGCGCGATTTTCGCGACCAAGTTGGAGTGATCTAGGTAGGTACGGGTCTTACAATTTCCCTCGCGGTATCCTTCCTACTAGTCGGGCTAATCCCGGGGTTTGCCTTTAATCAACATACCAACAACTAAGCGCGACGATTAGCCTTATCACCTCTGATGTAGCTGCATCGATAATTGGAGGCATGGCGCTGCTGTAACGCATTTCAGCACTGTGAGAAGGTCCTAGCTTCCCCATTTGTAATGTTCGTGGACAGCTCTGTTCTAGCTCTCAGAGGGTTTGCCTGGCCCGAAGTCATATTGGTGTCCGCCTCCAGCCAAAAAACGTTCAAGGCTTCCCCTGTTAGAACACAGTGGAGCACCTTATGCCAAGTGGCAATACCTTTACATGACTCATGCAGGGAGGGTGGGGGGCTGCGATTTAGAATGGTGCATGGCAAAAAAGATACACTTTCATTCACATTCAAAGCAGAATTAACTGCACTTTGTAAAAGCAAAACGAGTAAGCCTGATAGCATAGTGAAGAGCACATTCTATTCTATCAAATAAATTAAATAGAGGGCCACACCAAGGCAGGTCGAATGATTGGCCCGTAGTATGAGGTTAGGCTCTTATATTGACGCTGAAACGCGGTTTCGATCCCTCGACGATCAGCTCCAGTCATGCCTAGGACAAAATTGCAAAAATGGTTCTAGTACCAGCGTCAGGCCCAGGTTGACAGGCCGGCTGATGAAGACCCCCGTCACAACCAATATGTCTAAAGTCGAAAAAGGAATCAGTGATAAAGCTAGGACGTCACCCGGAAGTGGCGCGCAGAACCCCCGCCCGAGTTCTGTGGTCAGTATGCGAGGGCTACCGAGGAGTGAACGGCCTCGGCCAAAGAAGCTAGTTCGAATTGGGACTCTGAACGTGGGATCGCTAACTGGGAGTTCCGAGAGGTTGCTGATCTGTGATCTGCCTAACGCGCAGCTCTTGTGGGTGCGCCTATCAGGAGCCTCATCTGCGCCGCACAAAGTACCGAAGATGGTGATCAGGAAAAGAATGGTTAAGAAGTCATCGCCACGCAGCAAGACTTGGAACTAGTAACCGTGCTGGTGTGTGCGGATCCTGCGCGTCGAATGCTCCCTGGCGCAGGGCTAATGCACGGGTCGGGGATAAGTGAGAGAGTGTGTGTGCAGCTCGACATCTCTCTCGCATGGTCGATCTGTTCTACGGAATTATGGGTGAGGTCGCGCGCTCGGATTGTCCCCCACGTATGCATATACGGATTATTCGACGCCTCCTTTGAGACTTGAAGTCAAACAACCATCTTGCATATCCGGCAATGTGCCCTACTATTCCCAGTTAGGAGATAGAAGAATTATGATAGCAGCTGCGGGATGGGATATTATAGTCGATTATGGTAGACGCTTGAGATACGGCTGTTTTTGCAGATAGTACGTCACTAAGTCACCTTGTGTGTGAACGGATTTAAGATGGGCTAAATTTTCTTTTTGGTGCTCTTTATTAGGAGAACATCTAAGGAATATTTGTCGTATTCTTCAATAAAAGGCGAGGCCTCTTTGCGACATAAGTTTTGTTTCAGTGATTTGCACCTGGGGCATAGGTCGTGTTTTTGGGGCTTCGACTTGCATATGAGGTATATGAGAGTCTGCGACGTCTAAAGAACAATAAGGCACTTGACACATTCCTCCTAGTCTCGGGACGGTTGAGCGCATCGCCTGCGGTATAGAGTTCTGGAAATCCTAGGCAAAAGTAGGGTGTAGCATGCATCAGGGCTGTACTTCACTGCTCTCAGGGAGGGTAGTATAAATTTTTAGAAGTCGGTAATTCATCAGCAACCGTGCACGAATTCCGGACCCCTGCCGCTAGCCTGGTCGTATCAGTCGACGAGCCTGAAGATCACAGGAAATTTTGACTATCGTTATTAGTATTCAGTCGACTAAGCCGCTGGCGTGGTGAAAAGCATATCTCTTCTACATCAAGAAGCAGGTACATATAAATCCGCAAAAAAAAAAAACACAGCGTTAAAGTATATTGGGACTGACCTATTATTCCGGCGCACCTTCGTGTAACACCCAGCTTTCATTTGTTCCTATGCGATATGGTCAGCTCGACTGAGTCGTCTAATGCTAACGGAGAATATTCTGCAAGAACTTACGTTTAGGCTGATTACTTGGATATGTGTGTGAATGGAAAAGAGATAACGCATCTGCTGTCTCGCATCCCTCTTTTTCGCAGATGCTGCTGAGCATTCTACTTTTTGTGTGAAATTCATAGAGACGGCGTTTGATGCTCATGGTTGGCCCTATTACAGATGACTAGTGCTGGGTCCACGATCAACTCTCAGTCTGGATGTTTAAAATTCTATCACCGCCCTGAGTAGGGTTGGAGACGACCTCCACCCTCTCTCGCTCTCGCTCTCTCTTGATTGCCATTTACACTAGAATATGACTCAGAGTGAGATCTAAGGACAGTCGTCTCATCAAAGCAATAGGTCTGTCCCTGCCTCACGGCCTAGAAGACGGAGATGTTTATCTCTTGTGGTACGGCTCGGTTGCGCTGCGAGTGCGCTATGGGCTAGATGTGGCCCCTTTCGTACAATGCTCCCTGGAAGATAAGATGTTCTCGGGCCGATCCCGTTACCTAGCGCGTCCCCATAATACTGGCTTGAGGTCAAGTCGGGGTTTAATCGCGAACACGCTTCTCCAGGTCGAGGCAAGGCTATACCAGGCAGGTATGGCAGTGCGCTTTTCATCTTAAACACTTCTTCCATCACGTTGCTGCGCGCGGTCTGAAAAGGCATTCCTTTCTGTGCTCTCTCGGGGGGGTGGGAGTACCCGAATTGTTCCTGTGACATCGGGTCCCAGGCAGCGTTGAAGGATCGCCAGGCGCTCTGTGCACTTCAGGGTAGATACGCCCACGTAAATAGTCAGACGCGGTAGTCGAGAGATCGCATTGCGGTTCGTGTGTGTGTTGACAGACTTGGGCCTCGGCTGCTTGTCCCTTCTCGCAATACGGCTATCTTGCCTTCCACTGTTTACCTTGAGTCGGAAGTCTGGTGGGCGCTCAGCCACCTTAGATAATCTTCCGATGAGCCTTCCATGCTGCGATTGTGCACCCTAAGCTCGGTCAAACCGGACATCTTTCCTCTCTCTCCCATCGCCAGTGTGCACACTTACTCTCGTGCCTTTATCAGTCCAAGGCCTGATGGGAGAAGCTGTAGTCTTCCTGCCCGTGAGATTTGAGGCGGGGATCAGGAACTCTTCGTTAGCTAACGTGCAACCGCTGAGCATGCCTGTTCCACCTCATCTTGTTGTCGGCTGGCTTTCTAGGCACGATGACACCCATACGCTGTCACGCCCTATCTACACTTTCCATCTCACGCCGCACATGTCCTGTTGCGGGTTATGCCGATGGCGGGCTTGACAGCATGAAGGAGAACTTCTCTAGTCGTTTCCTCGTGCTTGTTCCAGAATTCTGACCAATGGTCGCTTATTTCCCATTTCTTTGCCGGTGGCGACAGCAGCCTTAGCGGCTCTTGCAACTCTGTATGCGCACGTACACGAGCGTCTTTGGGGGCTCCGTAGGATCTTCTGCTCACGCGACTTGTCATGCTTCTTTCCCTTCTGCCTCTCACGAGACGTCGGCTCTGAACTTCCTCGTTCTAAGATCTACGCTGCTTGTCTCCTCTCGGACGTCCACCTACGCGTTCTCGCTCAGGACTCATATCTCGCTTGGCACATGCACCCGATGGTATCAGTGCCGCCATGTTGCCGGACGGTCCGCTTCTGTATTTCGTCCGTTACGGGGGTATCGTGAGAGACCGACTTACCCTATTGAATTGTTCACCCATGGAAGTCATCTTATATATAGACGTGCAGCTCGCCATCTTCGGCTTCTCCTTTCGGTTGCATATACCTTGTCTTATTGAGAGGTCGATTCTAGCAGTGTCCTTCCCATGGACCTGTGTCCTGGGAGGGTGCTCTCTCGGCGTGAGAACTATGGAACATCATATATTCTTGATGGGATTGATTTGTAATTCAAGCTAGACCGTTATGCATATCAGAAAGTAAGTCACGATATCCAGGACGAGTTGCAGCGGGAACTTAACAACATATAAGGCAACACACAAAGTTCACCTATGGGAAATAGAGGTATACAAAACTGTTGAAGTTTTAGTGTTGCTCTGTTCTGGTTCCAGTGATTTTTGCACACGACGTTGTACTTCTAGGCAACACTTATTGAGGTATCATAGTGTCGGAGGCTGGTGTGGGGTATGGGAATCGCTGCTGATAGCGACAGAAATCAAACGGCCCGAAGAAGTATCGCGGAACCCGCGGATAAGTGTGTTGTGTTGTTGACTGCTGTTTGCTGTTTTTGGCCGCAGTTCGCCTTGCGAATGTTTCACAAGAATGCTGGGTTGTGAACAAAACTTTCGCCCCAGGCGGGACTAGAACCCGCACCTCTCGCTTTCCGGGCAAGTGCGCTACCAGTTACGCTACCGGGGCACCATTTCATTCCAACTCAGCTTTTCATGGTATACGTACCATAGCTTTCAGCACTCACACGTCTAACGTGTTGAGCCGGTTAGCCGATATCGGCAATGACCGCGAGGCTGAAAGCTTTAGCAATGAAACGGGCGTAGCGCGGTTGGCCGGACAAGCGAGAGGGCTGGGTCTTGTTCCAACTGGGCAATTTTTGTGGGCAATCCCAACATGGCTTGTGGCATACTGTTGTAGAGCTCTTTTCTACAATCAAAATGATTTCAATGCATGAGCCTATAAAATAGAGAAGCCTGTCAGCTTATGCGGTATGACGGTGCCTATCTTATGCATATAGATGAACAGATAGCTTCCTTCAATAACTAGACACCGCTCTACTTTCCCGGCACATTCCGTGATGCTATCGCTGGCAACGGCTTTGGGTTTTACGGTAATCTCAAAATGTTGCTTTCCATCCAAAATCTGGTAATAAAGTTGGACTACGGTATTTATATCCCACTTTTTCCATTTGAACCTCACTAAGGCCATTACAACTACTTCTTCTTAGAAGAGCGCTTATGAGTGACTAAGTGAAGCCTATTTGTAGTGATTAAACAATGGGATTATCCGCAAAGAGGGGGCGAAAAAAAAAGTCAATCAGATATAATCCTACTAAGTATATACGCGGCTAGATGTCGTCCTGTTGGGGTGGGGCTGTGTGTGTCGTTGGTGTGTTTGACGGAATTCATAACTCGAGTCACAGTAATAGCGCAGTGGTTCTTACATATGTTATAGGGGGTGGGATGGGGACACAAGTGGTACGTGATAGGAACTGATAACGACTGATAATAGCTGATAAGAGGGGCTAGAAAGCGAGCATCGCCAATTTCGTTTTGCCGTTCATATTGGTAAAAGAGCGTCTATACTTACAAGTCTTATGTGGGGCGGTCCCGGGACATTGGTGGTACATGATTGGAAGCGATAGCAACTGATAATGGCTGATAAGATGCGCTAGAATGCAAAAGTCGTCAATCCTGTCAAGGAACTCCAGTTGACACAGAGCAACCATACTCGCAAGTGTCATGTGGGGTGGGACGGGGACATTGTTGGTGGGTGATTGAAAGTGATTGCAACTGATAAGGGCTGATAAGGGGCGTCAGAACGCAAAAGTCGTCGATTTCCGTTACCTGGCTCGCATTGACACCAGAGCAACCATACTTACAAGTGTTATGTGGGGTGGGTGGGGGACATTGTGTGGTGGGTGCCTATGGGTGATAGAAAGTTGATAACGATTGATAAGGGCGGATAAGGCGCGCCAGAACGCTGAAGTCGTCGATTCCGTTGCCTGGCTCGCGTTGACACCAGAGCAACCATACTTACAAGTGTTATGTGGGGTGGGACTGGCGTGCTTGCACAAGCCCGCTCGCGCGCTGCTGCGTGCGGGCGGCTAGAAACTTGATAACGATTTGATAAGGGCCCGATGATTAGGGCCGAAAAGTGCGCCAACGCTGAAGTCGTCGATTCCGTTGCCTGGCTCGCCTTGACACCAGAGCAACCATACTTAAAAGTTATGTGGGGTGGGACGGGGACATTGTTGGTGGGTGCCAGAAACTGATAACGATTGATAAGGGCCGACAGAGGGGCGCCAGAACGCCAATTCCACGATATTCCATAAAGGGCGTCCCAGCATCATTGAGGCGTTTGGTTCGGTGTTTGTGGGGGGGATCAGGTATTTGCCGGGAGATAGGTATGGTGGAAAAAAGGAAGGGATAACGGCTGATAAGGGCCCATAATAACGATATGCGCAAGAATATGGAGGTCACTCAAAACCAGACTTTAGATAAAGCATTTCATTTCAATATTCTTCCATTTGCGTTGTTATCACCAGCCCGAAATACCACTAAACCGCTATGCCCCCCAGAGTTCCTAAAAATGTATGGTGTAAGTTCAAAAATACGATAACGAGTGCTGGATGTTTATATTTTAACATCACACACAATCCGACCGCTAAATTACACTGGCATTCGATGCATGGTGGTTGTTTACAGACACCACTTTAGCTCCGCACTCCACTGCGCGTATCAAACGGTGAGCTTCTGCTAAGATAAAGAGCTTATGTTAGCGGTGAATCTAGCGCTTCGTCGGCTGTCCTGTCTCATCCCGACCTTCCGTTTAATGCGCGCGGTAGCGTGCGGCGCTAAACTGGTAATTAATATATTTTATATGCTAACAAAACTAGGACTAACCGAGCGGATAAGATGACATTGCTTTTCCTTCGCTTCGTACGGGTAATCGTCTTCCGATTCCAGGCCGCCCATGCGAATGATCTCCCTATGAGACAATCATTAGTGGTGAACTGACGCCTACCGGTTTACTGGATTCCGGTGGCCAAGCTCTCCTACCTACCCTCATACCATGCACATTAGTTGTCTGCTCGGAGCACTCATCGCAATGCAAGCCGTATGAAAAGAAGAAGTGTTCAGATAAACTTGCAGGTGAATCCTACGAAATGCACGCTGCCAGAGGCGACAGTACATTCTGCTCTCATGTCCACTCGTGGTAATCGGCTCAGGCGCGTAGCTGCCTGCACGCGTGAACTGATCAATTACGGACGGGTGGGCGTGTCTGCAGCACATACTGTCACTCTTCCGTAGCCCATAACAGGAAGTTCCTACTGCAAGAATACCCGAGAAGCTTCGTAACGAATCTCAACATTATATTCAAAGATATCTGTCAAAAATAGAAAGGCCCAAAGCATTAAACTAACTGGTAAGCGTTGATAGGCAGTCCACCGCTACATCCCCAGTCAACGGTATCACAATCGAGGAGCTGTTGTTCCGAAAGTGACACAAGTTCCTTTTTGGCCAGGTACCACTGGCCTTCGATATTTCCTGTGACACAGAAACGCCCAACAGCTTCCACACTGACCTGAAGCTTATTCTCCATTTGTACAGTTCTACTGAACTCTATTCGAAACGAATTCAACTTTCTTAGGTTTCAAGTTCCTTGAAAAAGATAACTGTGCCGCACCTGATTTTAATTGGGAGACTGAGTGTGCTTGCAAGAATGCGACTCGAGAAATTGTATCAACAAGCGACAAATACTCCTGGTATCTCTCCACCAAATGTCCCTTTTATGAATGGTATTGCCGCTTGGCGACGAGGCTGCGCAGCGATACAAGCGGGGGGCAGGAGCGCACTGCTGTTCAGAAGCCATCACGTGCTAACCCTGATGCAGGCGACTTAAGCAGGCTTCTAATCCTTCCAGTTAACTGATTGAGAATACCTGTTAGCATTGCCAACCCTACGTTGTTACTAGTAACAACGGGGGGGGGGCGTACTTGATTGAGTTTGTAGGAGGGGGGTCGTACCCGTTTCAGTCGCTTGAAATGGAATTTTTAATGTTTTAGAGTAGCTATATTATACCCTCCCCTCCCCCGCTCGACGGCATTTTTGGAGGAAAAAGTGGGCGGAGTTTGGTGGGTTGAGTGGTATCAGAATTAAATACTATAGAGAGTGGTCGAGGTGTGGAAAAGGGGGTCGTATCAAATCCACCTTGGGGGAGGGGGGTCGTAAAAATTTTTCAAAAAGTAACAACGATAGCGGTATGCCCTGCTGGTAGGCGGTATGTTTACCCAGCTTCACGCAAGAGCCTGGCAAAGTGTATCAAGGATACGGTATGTGCGAAACCAGTAAGAGATCTGGTCCTTCATTCTTTTAACATGACGGAGCTTGTTAAACTAGGAGCAGTGGTGATCTAGTATCTTATCTCTGTAAAATGCTGCCGAATGAAACGACACAGTATGGTGAGTCGTCTTTTCGCACATAGCCCTGGAGGTCACGTCAGAGATTTTTCGGTAGAAGCCAGGATGATCAAGGCCGATGTTATCGGACTGAGCGAGCGAGGCCAACTGATTCCGTTTTCGGTTGGAGTGTCGTTTTGAAAACAGATTAGTTGTGAAGATATACCAGTCGACTTGTTCAAATATCACAGAGTATCGCGAAGTTTAATGGGTGGCTCTCATTCGGAAATCTTGAGCTGAGGCTATAACCTATACTTCAGCTGGTTTTGAGTATATGATAATTTCGAGCTCTGTGATATAAAATAGAGCAATACCTTGATCTTTAACTTCGGTAACTGCGCCATGATTTCTCCAGTCGAATGATTTTGGCAGTGGCTCCTTCGGATCCACTCCTTCAGCGACTAAGTTTACGATTCGTTTCAGATTATTTGGCTGATTCCATGTATATACGGGGGCAGATAAATCTGTAAAGATTATTCGATTGAGAAAATTTTTCGTTGGTTTCAATCTACAAGTTGTAATTTATGATTATGCGTTGCCTATACCGACCCCCTCCCCTCAGAATGCTGATCGAATCTGCTTTCGTTGTCTCGTGGAACAAAATTCTTAAAAGAAGTCATGAAGCTGGATAGCGCAGCTGTGGTGACCCTGACTCACAGCTGGAGTGGTTGTGAGATTGAGGCTTTCCATATCAATACTACCTCAACAACATTTGCCTGACTTGCTCGCATGGAAGGTCTGCGAGCTGTTCCTCAGATGTTCAAGCATATTTGCCTCATGATGCGCTAGTGAAACTTCTAGCGGCAGACTTTTGATACGGACCATGTAAGGCAAGGCAAGCAGTGATGGAATTAATGGGATGGTTGAGGTTAGTCTAGCTATGTTTCTCAATGAAAAAAGTGCGGACTCGCTTTGAGGTCGATTTGACGACCTCTTGTCTGTGAGTCCGGATTACTACCGCTACGCTTTCATGCCCATAATTCTTTCAGGAACTCGTTAAGCAGGTACGATAGCAGATTTGAACTCAAGCGTTTCGAGGCACGCTTCTTTTTCTTCTTTTTCTTCTTTCTTTAGCGTATCCGCTTTTTTCTGGTATGTTTTGACGCTTTTCCCGATTGAATGCCTGATCGGGATGGAATACCAGCTAACTTTAAGTCCATATGCAACGTATCAGACCAGCGCTGCTTTGGGCGTCCCTTGGGCCTTCTTCCAGGCACGTCTGTGTGTGACGGCCAGGTGTTTCAAAGCGTACCAATATTACATCACGCGGAACGCGATCGAAAGCCTTTTCTAAGTCTAGGAAGGCAAAATGCAGAGGCTTCCGTTTCTCGCGGTGTTTTTCTAGCAGTAGACGAGCGGCATGTATTGCATCGATGGTACTAACGCCGCTTACAAATCCACACTGGTTCGTGGTCAGCTGCACTATGTCGCGAATACGACGATCTACAATTCGCTCAAAGATCTTCATGCTGTGCGAAAGCAGGCGAATTGGACGGTAGCTCGTGCAGTCTGCAGGGCTGCCCTTCTTCTTCCAGATGGGAATCGTCGTGCTCTGGCACCAACTCTCAGGCACTTTCTTCTCTGCAACAACTTGGTTGAAGAAGAAGAGTTTCGAGACACGCTTGTGGGTGCACATCTCAATTTGAATGGCTGGATAATTCAACTGAACTTTCTTTGTAGCTCTACTTGTGCTAACCTCGAAGGCGGAGTTTGTGACAAGAAGACTGCCTATTAGAATCTAGGTAGAGGTGGTCAGTGGTTCTGGGATGAAGAAAAAACCAGGAGAAATGGCCCAGAACTCTAAAAATGGGATCTTACAAGTTGATTTCCACTCCGATGCGACTCTCATTGGTACTGCCTTCTTAATGCTAGTGCTTTCTCTGCTGAACGGTTAGAGAGCTGCGGCAAGTGGCTACCCAGTTGGGGCCGAAATCGCCGCGAGAGGGCCATACTAGATCCCTGGAGGAACATCCTTCGATTCGAAATGGTTGTTGGTTCGCACCCGCAGGAAGGTTGCCCGTTTTTCAACTAGTTAGTTTTCCACTTCTTCAACTTTATTTTGAAATCTTCCCTTGAACGGAAACTTCTTGTTCACATTACGTTACCCAGAACATGCACCACTCTGAGTGGTTACAACAATGAGTGCTGCGTATCACTTCGGTCCCGCACCGCTTTTTCGCTTGCGCACCTGTTGTTATAGGAGAATGCGTAGATCTGGGAGCACAATCTTTAGGATGTTTTACGAAGCCTCTGAACAATTCTGAAAAGTGTACATCATAAGAGAGACCTTCTTGAATTCTTCCCGGTGAAA